TATGTATTTGAGTGTAATTAGAGGAAAAAAAAAGATAAATCAACACATTCAACAAATACTGATTATTATTATTATTATTATTCACCATCACTGCCATAACATCCCAATGACAAAATAATGATAATAATAATTTTAAGAAGAAGAATATATATAGAATATATTTATGATAAGTAGAGTAATATAGATTGTAATAATAATAATACCCATAATACTAACAACCACAGTAAAACGAAATGGCAACAGCAGTGATAACAAAATAACAATAATATAATATAATATAATATAACATAATACAATATAATAATATTTCTATAACTATGTATAAAATAGTCAAATTATATTAGTCATGGTTCTCTATCCTGTTGAGATCATCTCCCCACCCAGTAGTTCTGTGCTAACTATGGGAATTATTCCCATCTGGGGAAATCGACTTGGAAAATGAATAATCTTTATGACTCTGCACCAGGCGATAAAAGCCCCACCTAGCGCATGCACTCACTGATTCATTAATTTCCACCTGTCTAAGTCAACGTGAAAGAAGAAAGAAAAGAGAAACAAGTTAATTGTTTTGTCCACTTACCTTTGTTTAGGTTGGAGAGCTGGCATTCGCGGGTTCCTCTCGAGGACAACTAGACACCGTTTCTTCTTTTTGACAATAAGGAGTGAAACAGTTGAGAGGGGTGCCATATCCGTGTATTACAGCTCTCTGTTTACACACGGTTGAGGCATAGCAGCTTGTTTGAGCCTGACTTAATCAGGGGGCAGTGTGCTGCGTCCCTTTAGAACGTGGTTGCAGGCTCAAAGCCGACTGGATTGAGGGGCAGCTTGCAACGTTCCTTGGGGGTTTAGTTATGTGCTCAAACCCGACTGAGTCGGGTGGCGGCGAGTGGCTTACCTCCACAGTTAGCCACTACGAGGCATAGCTGGTTTTCTAGTTCACACTTGTGGAAGCTTCCCATTTCCTCATTAAAACACATCTCCCTCCAGTAGAAGTGTGCTGCTGTCTGGTGTCAAAAGAAAATAATCCATATTGTGGCCACACTCACATCTGTTGGCTTAGGGAAACTATTTTAAGACAGTTAGCAAAGCTGTTGTTATAACTAAAGACTGCACTTTCTGCTTTCTGGTCACACTACAGTGATGTCACTCTCAAAAAAAAAAAAAAGGAGAGAGAGATGATGGCAAGCCGGCAGGGCCCCACTTGTGTGGGCTGTAATGTTAATAGGCCAGTAGAGGATGGCCATGACTACTGTGTATTATTTTAGGGAATTGAGCATACATTTGCCACTCCTGATAATCCGGCTTCATGTGTGAACTGCCTCTGCATGTCTGCAAGGCAAAGGCAGGCCCATTGTCATTCATTTGGGAGATGTCAGCCAGCCCCTTCTAGCCAGCCAAGCGCCCTAGGTTGGTAGGTCTGGTAGTTGGGGACGGAGGCCCGTCAGGGCGCCCCTCCGCCCCCTCCATTACAATATCAGTGGAGGTGAGCGGACTGTGTAATATGGGAACTTCTCTGCTCCTGGGCACTCTGCTGGGTTGGATCCTCTTCCTAGACACTCTTGGCCTTGGGCTCCTTGAGGACGTTTAGATGTCCTCAAAGGGCCAGCAGGTTCTTGTAAAGTAGCATGACCAGCAGTTGCCTAACCTTCAGGAGATTATTGGCCGTACTGCTTCGGCTCTGGGGCTCGACCTGCCAGCTGGTCACGTCTCGCCTCTACCCGTTACGGCAATAAAACGGGGGCGACCTGCATGGTTCCTTGTGCCTTTCCTTTCTGATTTTAAGGAGGTGGTCAGGAGTCAGTTTGCAACACCGACGGCAGGGGCAAGCTGGTCGGGGCTCTGTCATTGTACGACTGGGGTTGATAATCAGGGATGATAGGCTGTGGGCCATTGCCCCCCATGGGTCAGGCTTTGGTGGTCCAGTCAAAGCCTCTCCTGGGCAAGGGTTGCCCGAGTAGAAACTGCAAGGTAATGGCTGGCTTGCTGGGAAAAATGCATGTAGCCATGGCAGTCAGGACACAGCTGGCAACGACGGGTGCCATACTGTCCGTGTACCAGCACCATCTAGTTGGCCAGCTAGAGGAGGAGCGTAGAAAGAATCTAAAAGCCGAACAACAATGCATCTCCTCACTTCTTCCTAAGCACATGAGGGAGCAGGTTGAGGCAGCTGGCAGTGCTATGGCAAGTTTTTTGATGGCCAGGTGCCATCTCTGGCTGTCACAGTCCATGCTGCAGTCCGAGGATAGGGCATGTCTGCTCAAACTGCATGTTGAACCATCTGCCTTGTTTGGGCGTGACACATCCATAATGATTCAGCAGGGAAAGGAAATCCATCGCTGTGCTCGGAAGGTGTCAGGCGCCTTGAATCAATGTCAGGGCTGGAAGTGGCCTCAGCCACGGCAGCCCAGGCAGCCTCAGCCTACTTGCAGTCAGGACGATCTGCTGGGCCAGCTGGATGCAGCACAGTGTGGCAATTATAAAAGGGGCCGAGGATGTAGCAGTGGCCAGTGGCCACCCAGGCCCATGCCTCAGTCCTGACGTGACATCACCCCCAGCCTTCCCTTTCCCTCAGGCAGCATGGGAGGCTCTAGGGGCAGACCTTTGGGTTGTTTCAACAATGACTGAGGGGTATCATTGACAGTTCCAAAGTGCTCCTCCTCTGACGAGGGTGGCTGCATTTTCCATCATTGCAGACCACCAGCACAGAGAGGTTTTGCACTCAGAGATCTTCATTCTCATGGCGAAGTTGTCTATCAGGAAAGTAAAGGAAAAAGATCAGCAGGCAGGGTTTTATTCTTGCTATTTTCTTGTTCTGACGCAGGATGGAACGCTAAGACCTGTCTTAGACCTCAGGGGGCCGAACAAGTTTCTCAGACCCCTGAAGTCATAAGGACAGAGGGATGTTGTATGCTGTAAAGCCCTGTGAGGCAAATTGTGATTTGTGATATTGGGGCTGTGATGATGCAAACATCATGGTGCACAACACAGAGCAACTAACCGGATCAATGCACTGACATGTGCAGCCCCAGAGGTGCGCCAGTACCTGCAGGGGCTGCTTGAGGTGTGAAAATCACCTATGACCCTCAGAGGCATGGTGGCAGCTATCAAGGCTACTCCTACAGGGGATAATAGGCTTGCAAATGGTGACTGCAGCCTCATCTCTCAGTTCTCAGTGGAATGGCCGGCCTTCTAGTGTGCAGTGTAAGCCTTGCACAACATGAGGTCGGCCATTCCACCATGGGACCTGGGCCATGTGCTGGCCACCCTGCAGCGAGAGCCTTTTGAGCCTCTGGAGTCAATCAGCATTAAGTGGCTGTCACTTAAAGTGGCTTTTCTCTTGGCAGTGATATCAACCAAAAGCGTGGGGGAACTGCAAGCTCTGTCAGTGGATGCGAGCTGTTGTCGGTTCCTGCCAGATGATGCTAGGGCTTGGCGATATGACCAAAATCTCATATCACAATATAGGTCATTTCATATCCCAATAACGATGCATATCACAATATAGCACATTTTAATCCAATGAATAAGCCAAGAAGAGTAATTTATCAATGTGATCCATGCAAAAGATGGACAGACTCCAAATGATGAAAAATATTGCCGTAAAACATGTAATTTGCGTCACAACGATATAAATGATAGAGCAGAATATGAAACAATCGACATTTTTCTCTCGTCACACGATATATATTGTCATATCGCACAGCCCTAGATGATGCTGGTGTCATGTTGCACCCAGCAGGAGGCATAGTTACCCCATGGGCCTTTTGGCTGGGTGCCACCCTTTTGGAGGTCTGTGCAGCTGCTGCATGGTCAAGTCCATCCACATTTGCCAAATTTTACTGCCTGAATGTGGCTGCTGGCACCTCCTTTGGGAAGCGTGTGCTGGGGGCCACCACACAGTAGGCCATGTAATTCCATGCCCCTGAGGTGGGGGGATTGGGCACCTTGGCCAAGCCAGGATGATGTCATATATTATTGTCAGTGGCCTGGCAGCGGGCTGGCCAACTGAGCGGTCTTCCTCGCACCCAACCCTTGCATCTGGCAGGGTTGGCCATGCTTATGGTTGCGTCTGGTGCCTGGGCATCTGTACAGTGGCACACAGCGTCTGGCTGTGTCACGAACTGTTGAATGTGCAAGATGTTGTCCATTTAAGTTAAGTTTAAGTTTATTTACTTTATTAATCCCCTGAGGGGAAATTCAACGTTTTCACTCTTGCTTGTCAATTACATACAGGTCTGAAAGACACACACATGCACAAACAGGACCTATACATGCACAAAGTGGAGAGATCTCAGAATGAGGGGGCTGCCCTTTGGTCAGGCGCCCCGAGCAGTTGGGGGGTTCGGTGCCTTGCTCACTGACCTGAACGGGCACCTCTCCAGCCACCAGTCCACACTCCATATTTGGTCCGGATGGGGACTCGAACAGGCGACCCTCCGGTTCCCAACCCAAGTCCCTATGGACTGAGCTACTGCCGCCCCGTAGTGCAGTTAATTGGTGTTTTTTCATACATACAAACTTATTGAGTATTTTCTGTTGGTAATGCACCTGGTGGCAGGGATGTCACATTCGAATACCCGCATCTGCTCTGTCCCCTGGGGCCCCTCGCAGTGTGTCTTAAAGGGTTCCCAAAGTTATAAGTACTGGGGAGATCATCTCCTCACTCAGAGAACCAAGGTTACAATGTAACTGAGCATCAATTTAGGAGGAAGAAAATAATTATTCATATATGATATATATATATATATCTATATGTCTAAGTTGGATGACTTAATGTTGATTTTTTTTTTTTTTTTCAAATTGAGGATGAGTGATAAATTGAGTGATGTATTGCTGTAATGTATTACTTTTGTAACTTGTTACCTCCAACACTGGTTGTTAAGAGAGAATAACATGCATCATATTTGAGGCCAGTAAGTCATAATGTCTGTGTCTCCACTGTGACACCGCAACATTTCATTTATTTCAGTAGTTCAGTAGTTCAACAGATATGGACTCACCTCCATCACCACTATGTCCTTGGAGCTCTGTCTCTGGACTTTGGGGTGTTGGACCTTGATGGCCACTGTCCTCCCATCATGCAGCACAGCCTTGTGGACCTGGGCTAAGGAGGCTGCACCCTGAGGCTTCTCCTCAAAGGTGACAAATAACTCTGACAGCTGCAGAAGAGAGATAGGGAAAGAAGAAGAGAGTGGGAGCGAAAAGGGTGTGGAGTTGGGAATAGGATCATCAATCTGACCATCTCACTTTACAAGTTATTGTAAGTCGCTGTACAGCCACAGAAGACTAAACGCATTACCAACAGAGAGGTGGACATGGCGGCATAAATGTGATTTATTCTTTCAAGTTCTGCTTTGGCTTAGTATGGATTTGTAATGTCATGGCAATAACAGCAAATCAGCTGAAACGTGATGAGCTGATGATTCAATAATGTAATGATGATGCCTGTATTAGGTTTGTTTTTGAGATAACTGACCTGAAGCAAAACTCAATGAGACTAAGAGGGGACCAAAAATGTGTTAATAATGAGAACAGAGAGATGGGGGACTGAAACACAGTTTACAACCAGATGATAGGGATTTTCACTGACACTATTGGTGTGTCTCAAATCACATGCTTCAGTTAGTACACTTCCATGCAGTATACTATGTGCACTATGTACTTATTGGCGTAGTGTGCAAATTTCGACAGCGTAGTGTTGTCTCAAACCAAACACAGCTGCTGTGCACTAAGCGGAAATGACAACTGCAAAATTCGACCTCTTCTTCTTTTAATGCCTAATTGTAACCGGCCAATGGAGCATTAATGCCACTATTTGCCTGGCCTCCAAACATAGTAAACTAGCATTTGCATTTGCATTTGCATTTGCATTATCGTTCGCGGTACCAAATCATTACAGACTGCTAAATTAACCCAATAAACATACTGCTGGCTTATATCCGACAGTATAGTGGTGCTCAGTGCAAAAAACACATGTATAACTTAAATTTGTACAATGCAGCAACATTCACGGTCGCACAGTCCTCGGCCGCCATTTCCAGTTTGAAAAGTGGTCCCTCCCCTTCCGCTACGTAGCCAAGATGGTGACCATTGAGGGCGTGAAGTGTCCATATTTCCACACTCAACTTCTTGATCATTTTGAGTGCACCATCCGGGTACTCATAGTGCACTGCATTTTTCCATACTTCTCAGTGTGAACGCACTTATTATCTGTGCTTAAACTGTGCGTACGATCGTTTGACGCACAAATCCGGGATTCACCAATATTTTCTTACCCGAATTTGTTCTTACTCTGCGAACAAATTTAGAACTGCCTCAGACCATGCATACGTACAAATGAGGAAGGCCGAACTGACTTAGAAAATACAAACACATACCTTTTAAGTACATGCAGAGCCTATAAAACCACATTCATTAAAAAGAGATTTAATTAACATTTTTTAAAATCATTAATTTACTAATATATTGGCCAAATGTATTAAGTAACCATGAAATTGACACAATTTCACCCTCATCATTGTGACAATTAAAATATTCAACGATAACAGTCCTAGTTTACAAAGGAATATATGAGAATGTACATTTCGAAATTTAGGCCTAACAGTTTTGGCTTTCATTTAATTGTTTTGGCCTATAATGATCACCCACTCCCAACAATTTCTTGTGCCATGAAATTACGCATCTGTGGCCAAAGGCAACTGGTTAATTGGTAGCATGTTAAAGGGCATGCAGGGTATATAAACAATTCTGATTCACCCGAGCAAGTGTTAAGATGGCATATCTAGCCTTGCTAGAGGATATTGCAGCCCGTGCCCTGAGGAGAGAGCGCGTATTCAGGGACCAACACAACATGTTCGAGGAAAATGATGAATGGCTTATCAGCCGTTTCCGATTACCAAGGCATGTGCTACTGCAATTATGCAATTCTCTGGAGCATCTTAATCACCCGACACACCGTTCTCATCCGATACCTCATCAGGTGCAAGTCCTGTCCACCCTCAGTTTCCTGGCTACAGGTACATTTCAAAGAGAAATAGCAAACCAGGCTGGGATTTCGCAACCCTCTCTGAGCCATGCCATCCCACGGGTATTAAATGGCATCCTAAGGCTATTGCCTGAATATATCAAATTCCCATATGATGAACATAATCAGACCGATGTGAAGAGGGGGTTCCATGGCATAGCTGGAATGCCAAATACAATTGGTGCAATAGACTGTATCCATGTGTGCATCAAAGCTCCACTGATTGACTCAATGCAATACATGAACAGATAAAAACTATCACTCCATCAACATGCAGATGATCTGTAATGCCGACTGCCATATTCTTAACGCTGTGGCCCACTGGCCAGGAGGCACACACGACTCATTTATTTTGCAAAACAGTACAGTGGGAATGCGTTTGGAGGCAGGGGCTGTGAGAAGTAGATGGCTTGTTGGTGAGCATCTTTTGTTCTAGTCCTTTATTTCAATTGTTTTTAGTTAGCATTTTTAGTAAGACTCTATTCCGTTAATGCTAAAATGTTATATTGTTTAGGTGACCGGGGATATGGCCTTAAAACATGGCTGATGACACCATATGCAAACCTGAAACCCCTCAAGAGGTGCGCTATAATAACATACATGCCTACACATGCCGTAATAGAGCGCACTTTTGGTGTGCTTAAGGGCCGTTGGATGTGTTTGGATACAGCCGGTGGCAAACTACTTTCTACCCCTGAGAAGGTGTGCAAGATCATCCTGGTATGCTGTGTCCTCCACAATCTTGCAGTGACCCATGGCATTCCTGTAAGACCCGGCGCGGAGCCACAAAACTACGCGCAAGAGGACACACAGCCACATGTGGGACCTCCTGCCAGGGCTGCAATTCAGGCCCATCATGAATTGATGCAGCGTCTTTCATGATGGTATGCGTAATTTCAAAATGCAAACTGAATAAATTATGATTCTTCCTTCGGCTTTGTCTACTTTTTTTTCACCTGGGCCACAGTGCGCTTCTCAAAGCAGAGACGACAGCTGGACTGATACTGACTGATGTCTGTGTTCCATATTCTTTCTAAACTTCACTCAGTATTGTGATGTATGATTTATTTTATTGACATTTTAGACTTGATTCCAGTAAGACTTTGCTGTTTTAATATTACTGTTGCTGCTCTAGAAACAAAATTAAGTTATAATATATTCAGTTTTATTCCTGTTGTAAATTTAATCTTTTTAAATTCTCAGAGAATCTCTTTCACATACCAGCAAAAATTGGGATTGGGACTGCCCTTCTGCCCTTCTCAGCTGTCTATTTATACCTCAAGGAGAAAGTACACTCCTTCGAAGACAGCAATGTCCACATTTTGGACAGGGAAGACAGATGGTTTGAAAGAGGTGTAAAAGAAGCCATCTATGTGAAATTGGAAAAACCATCTCTCAATAGAGGAGGAGGTCTGCAACACCACCTATCCCCTACCTATAATGCTGTCCTTTCATCCTTGCCCAGGAGATTTAACAACTTAACCACTAAAAACAAAGGTCGTTCACAAATAGCCTCATGTGACTCTAACGACTCCAATGACAACCGCTGCAGCAGTTTCAACGACCATCGTTGACACACCATTGGAGCACTAACGAACCAGTGACATCATTAGCTTTGTGAAGACCTCCTCAGAGGTTAAATACCTGGGTTGTTTCCACACCAGTTTGTCAGACTAGTTCCAGCCTAGCCAGACAAGCATGAACTGATGAAGCCTCTTGGATAAGAGGTGAAACGTCTTCTAAGACAAAACCAAGTCCAGTTGCGTTCGATTCAATTGCCTTGAGATAACTATGACCTGGATAAATGAGAATATCCACAAGCATTAAAATGATAATGTCCGAGTGTTTGAGCTCATCAGTAAACTTGGAGTTATTACTTTTAAGTCCAAAAGCTGATGATCTCAACCCTTGTATGTTCCATTGGCTGATGACAAAGGATTCATATCGTGTCATGCTACAGTATTAATTATTGAATTAATTGTTCTTTTCATACAAAGTGAAAATGCCTTCTTTTCTTTCTCTCTCTCTTTTTTTTTTTACTGTGGATTAATACATTATTTTATGTATGGAATTGGTTTAGATAAACAGTATTAATAACATATAATTGCAGTGATATTAGTGAATATTGATCGGTTAATAGAATTCATAAACAAAGGAAAAAAAGAAAGAAAGAAATAAAAATTAACAGTAGCTTATAACAATAACATATATTTTGTGTGTGTTGGTGTGTACATGTGTGTGTACATGTGTGGGTTCACCAGGGGCCCTGGCCTGTAAGGTGAGTGCAGATGAGTGTAAGCATTTGTCATGGCATCATGTCATGGGAGCTTGGAGGTCCAGTGAGGGCTTCAGCATAGCTTCTCCTGTGAGTCTATGATGGTGCTGGTGAATGGAAGTCTTGCTGCCATGTTTGTGGAGGTCCTGCAGTGACTATGGTGTCACTCCTGGGAGGGGGTGAGGGGCCAAGGTGAGGTGGGCATGAACGTGGGGTGAGAAGTGGGGGTGGGTATGGCTGTGGTAGTTGGGGGTTGAGTAGGGGTGGGGGTCTGGGGTGAGTTCCTTGGTGGTGCTCTGGGGGCTCTCCAGTTGTTCCAGGTCCTGGGTGGTGTGGAGGGCGGTGTTGTGTGTGCTGGTGCGGTGGTCTTGGTGGACCTCTCCTTTCTTGTCTCCGGTGTGCTGGTCTTTGTGTCCTGGTTGGTGCCATCTGTGTTCTGTTCTCTCTGTTGTTTTGGTGGCCTGATGTGGAGATGCAACCCAGCGCAGCATCTTTCAGTGTTTTGGCAAAGACAGAAATGTTTTCCTTTTTGAGGTGTACTTGGTCATAGGGGCTGTCCACACTGATGTTTGGGTGATGGGTCAGATATACATTAGGTTTGAGAGCACAGTCTCTTGATATACTGACGTTAATTCCTAAACTTGTTTTAGGATGGAAGTCTTTTCATGGGAACAGAGTGGACATGACAATCTTTGTGTTGGGAAAAGTGTTGTTGGCCTTATTAATCACTGCTTTTAGTGATGTTGCAACCTGTTCCTGCTGGGCTCTCAAATCATTGGTGCCTGTATGGATTATGATGTGGCTCGGGCTGCCAAGATATTCTTCGGATAGCAAGTCAAGGGCTTTGTTAGTGGTGGGAC